TAAATCCCTGTCTTAATTGGTTTCCTGGAAACTGTACCGTGGTGCGTGCGTACTCGTTACGCGATTACCACAACTTCCCTCCCTCAAGAGTGCCTCATCCATTTGACTTGCCTTTCGTCGTGTTCTCCGTAACACTGCACTGATCGAGGCTTCCGATTTTGCCGGTTGAACTCCATCTTCTTGTTCAACATTATGACACTGGGGAACCGTAGCTTCAGGTTCAAGCCGTTTCGAATTGCTAGGGTCATCCACTTCTTCGTGGGGTTCTGATGCACCGATCGTTCGTTCGTCTCTGAAATGTATCTGGTCGATGTGCCGCTGATGGACAGATGCATCTGTCAAATCGATTATCTCCACCATTAACTGACCCAAGCTTCTGGTGAAGATGCCACCAACATGACGCAATGTTTGCCCCTGAAGTATGTCCCATCAGTAGAATCCATACATCTCAAGGAAGATCTCAGGCACCGTGACTTAAATAGCTTCGCCGGACTTTCCTTGGTAGTCGCATGTGTTGCGTTTTGATATTGCAGCAAGAATTTGTCAAGATACGCCTCCAAGTCCGTAATGGATTTTGGATTCGCGGATGCCAGTGTACTCTTGACTGTTTTCACAAGATTCTCAGTCTGACCATTAGAACAGGGATGTCTTGGGGCTGTACGTAAATGTCGATACTCAATGCTATCGAGCCAATCTTTCATCTCGGTGGAACTGAACTGAGATCCGTCTGTGACGAGCACTTGTGGTATACCTTCCTGACTGAAGCACTTCCGGAGAGCTTAGATCACGAAGGATGTTGTTGGCATACTTGTCACAAATACTTCGGGCCACTTTGAGTAGGAATCAATGAGAACCAAGATATATTATCTATTCAGAAATGGGTCGCAGAAGTCCGCATGTACCCGTTGCCATGGTGAATAACTTCCTGGCCATGGAATCCACTTTTTCGGTTTCGCCTTCACTTTGTGCAGGGACGCCTCGCAATTCTTCGCAGTTTTGCAAATGTCTGCATCCAAATCAGGCCACCAACACATTTATTGAGCCAGAGATTTCATCTTCTCTATTCCCAAATGGCCTTGGTGGTCTTCTAAGACTGCTTTTCGGAGCGGTGGGGTTATGATTAGTCGATTACCACGACAGAGGACACCGTCTGGTTGCACAATCAACTCCTCCTGATGGATGTAGAACTGAGGATGTCTTTCCCTATATCCAGAGGTCATCCTTTCGATAGGGCTGAAACAACTACAGAGTAGTACTGTTTTGTATATCTTCTCAATGCTTCCCTCGAAACCGATGATGGTTGAACGATAAAATTACACTTCCTTGCGGTGGAAAAGAGTGAGTATCTGGACAGGAAGTCTGCCCGTGGTATTGTCTTGCCTGGCCGATGTATATCATAATCGTAAGCTGCCAGTGTAATACTCCATCGTTGAATCATGGTGGCTATAGACTTGTTGGGGTTGAATACGAATTATAGCGCTTTATGATCCGTCACAATAGTAAAGTGCAACCCAAACAAATATTTGTGCAATCTCCGGACAGCTCAAAACACCGCCAAGGTTTCTTTCTGGGTCTGCGAGTACCTCTTCTCCGCATTTTTGGGCAATCGGGAAATCCAAACCACATGAAGCTCTTCTTGATCCGAAATGGCACCAATGCCCACCTCGAACGCATGTGTCACCAGTGTAATCGATTTTGATGGAGAAAATGATGCCGGGAGTGGACTTCAGTGATGTCCCGTATTAATTCGTGAAGCGTTCGTTCACATTCCACGGTCCATTTTCATTCAGCAGCGGACCACGCGACAAACAAGGGTTGGGCCCTGGTGGCGAAACTAGGAATAAATCGTTAATAATATTGGAGGCATCCCATAATTGATCGTAGATGACTTTGATCTTTCGGGGATTCGATATTCACTAGAGGTTTGAATCGGTTGGGGTCCGGTCCGGAATGACACTTTGCATCTCTGAATCGACAATTGGACCATAAATGAAATTGGCCACACGACATACACCGATTAATTTTCGTGTTTCAGGTCCTCTGGTCAGAGTAATTGGTCTTCTGGATATGAGGAGATTTGGACTACATCCCGGGTCTATTCGTTCGCTAATTACTCTGCAATAATGTAGATGACTGACTGGTTGTTGCCGCAGTGAGATCGTCATGTGGTTCACATATCCTTCGAGCATCAGGAAATGTTAGATATTTTTTTCAAGCAACTCCCTCTGGAGAGTCATATTATTAATGCCTGTAATAAGGCGATCACATAATTGCTCTTCCAGCCTGTCCCATAGTTGCATTTTGAAGCCTGTTTGTTAAGCAACAGGATGAAATCTAAACACGGCACTGATCTGGAACGAACCCAAGAATTGAACATCGCTCCCTCAGTGGCTTGGAAATCAATTGGAATCACGTGGACAAGAAGCAATTGTTTAAGAATCGGAAACGGTAACTTGGCCGGATTGTCAGGGAAAGCGAGATTCTTCAGCAGAGAATACATTTCCTTCCCGCCGACTGTGAGAAATAGCACGGATTGCTCCTGATCTCCGTCCTGCCGTAGGGTGCACCACAGCTTGAGACGTTCCACCAACTCTTCAATCTCGGACGGATGTGAATGTAGATTCAGGAATTCGATAGTGCGCAACTCCGTGCCTCGTCGTGTTGGCTGCTTAGGACAATTTTATGGGACTTATACACCCGACGATACTGATAAGTGCAGTCGACGAGTGTGGCTTTGAAATCCTCAATTGCTCGCTGGTTTGTGAATATAGGTTTTCAAACTGCATTTCAACCTCCAGTTGGTCATTGTTAGGAGATTGGCGACAAAAATTTAATCCGAACGATCAAGCTTCCACAAAAGATGCGAGTCCATTGGCAAATTGGAAAGATTGTGAACAGGATTGATGGGCTGTTTGGTCCGTGGTTTTGTCTGATGCACAGTACCTTTCAGTTAAGCCAGTTTCATGCCAGCCCCCGCTTGGTGCAAATGTGCTGAACCAACTGCTCGAGTTCGTTTCTTTCTTCGCTGTTCACGTGATCCGGGATATATCTCTTCTTCGCACTCCGTTACGCTCCAATGCTGATGGCCATGAGAGCATTATCACTCAAGTGTAGATAGGTCTTTATAAATTCGATATTGAGATAGGGCTGAAACAACTATATAAGGCCAAGTCGATCTTGAAACAGCGCGCAACCTAAATCAAAATTATGTACTGAACAAAAAACTGCGGTTTACCACGATTCTTGGTTACTTATGAGGTCTTTTTGATCTCGGTTGGATAGTCCACCTGGAATGTTCAATGAGCTGCCACGGTTCCTGCAAGGAAAGAGTGAAGACCATGGTTTAGCCTCAGTTCCTCATTGATATTTCGGCAGCTTGCAAATTTTAAAACGCGGCGGCGAAAATCCAAATATGAATTTCCTGTCCAGGGGTTTCTGAAGCGAGAGAGGGATGACGAACAATTTTTCTGATGGTAACGGAGACAGTCCAAATCGTATCGTTACAATATCGGTACAAAGACTTTCCCGAGAGCTATTCGGACGGGAGAACATATTGTAAGCCATTGAGAGTGTTACCGAGAAGAGATTCATATGATCAAGTTATGGATGCAAGAGAGGCACGGTAATGAATCGCTTTCGTAGTGCAAGAACGGGAACAAAACTAAAAGTTGAATAGGGCCAACACGTTACCAGATCCAGTTTGAAATGTCAGTTCTTACTGATGATAATCTCGGATCCTGATGCAGACAGAGGGCCAGAAATATATCAGTTCATTGTTAAAGCGTGTCTATTGGGGTCCGATGTTTCGCTAGAAAACTCGGACTGTTATAATTGCATTGTTGTTCTGTCATCTACAGGGTGCTTCGACAAGATTTTCAGTCTGTTTTTGTCCTTTGATCTCGGAAAGTACCACAAGACGTTTCATTCGGAGGAAAAACAGGCAGCTTCGAGCATCTCGGATTTTAAGTCTGGAAGCTCTAGATAGATTGCAGTTTACACATTTATCATTACGGAGGCTGTGTCTACTGGTATGTCATGCAACAGCCTCAGTGCAGAATACGGGGGGTGGGGTATTAAAGTCGTACACTCTGGTGCGGATTTTTAATCAGACGACAGCAATGTTTAAGGCGAGTGGTTATGCTACCGAACAATTAGTGCGAAGGGCGATAACCAGATGTTTCACTTTTTGTTGGGCCTCATCGGCCACGCGTATCAATCCTGTCCTCATGTTGGGACTCGAACCGTAAAATCTCGGGTTGTGCAGTTCGAAACCCCTACGAGTGAATTACATGGTCGGTGATTAGACAATACCTTGGTCATCTGGTATTCTGGTGCGTTTTTTAACTCCAGTAGAAACCCTCAGACACCACACATTTTGTGGGCGGATTGGTCTCGCTCTTGAATTTTTTATTTATTCCGTACAATTCTGATAGATCACAGCCATCAAACAATCCTCGGTGTCTACACATCATCGAGAGTAAATCAGGCATTCCGCATGATTCGGTCCTAGTTAAAACAGCTCCATAGTGCTGCTGTGTCAACAACGTTTACACAGTACGAGTTGAACAAGGTGTATAATCGGTAAGTCACACGGTTGTCCGGAGCGACTCCAGTCGGCCGAGGGGGTGTATAAAAGTGAACGTTCAGAAAACTGTGTATGAGGAACGGTTTTTCACGAACTGTGATTTCTTCCACATTATCCCTGGTGGTTAATCAACTGTTAGTTAGTCCAAATGAAGATACAAAGGATAAGGATTTCAAAAAAATTCTATTATAACTATCAATTTCTCGTACAACTCAAAACAAACATGATCAGAAATGCACATCTGAAAGGAGAGACAAAAAAGAGATTACATAACAGTGGGGTTGAAACAAAGATGATAACAAAATCAATCTGATCATTGGACAACGGGGCGAACTGTTGCACAATCAGAGCCGTGTGAAAAAAGACAAAAAAGGGGAGAAACGCCAGGGGGAAGGGAAACCTGGTCTTTCCCTATCTAGTTAGGTAAATTGGGGAAAATTTTCAGACCAGCGGCTCGCTCGACCGCACTCAGGGGAACTTGGAACTTGTCCAACTGTACAGTTTCCGGTAAGGCCATATTGGGAAGAACCCAGGCGACACAGTGCCACGGAGCATTTTCTTTCTCTTGAATTGCAATCGCTTTGAAAAAATGTGTTGGGACGGCCACATTGTTTGAACCAATCACCTCATAGACTACTTTCTTCTTGTTTCCTTCAACGCTAAATGGAACAAACGGGAGGGGGCACATTTATGTTAGTGGTCAAAAACAGATGTTAACAGCTTCACATATGAACTGAGTGAGTGGTAGGTACCGTATTTATTATAAGCTCTTATTCACAAACGTTTGGGAAATTTTGAAATAAAGTAACACATCACCCGAGCAACGAGAAACTTTAACACGTGTGTCGATAATGACATAGATTAGCGTCTTAGATTTCCTTTGCTAATCAACTGCTGGAAAATATTAGACGATATTTTATGAGGAATGAGTATTTTTCGGTGATGCCTGGTATAGAAGGGTTGTTTTGTGGTTACTGGATTGCTTCAGGCTTCAAAGAATAAACCCAGGCCCAACTAACGAACCTAATTGTCTTTCTTTTGTCAAATCCCACCAGGAAATAGACTGTCGTTTCCCACAGGTGAGGAGTAGTTTCATCTGACTGTGCATCACGTCAAAGGAAACCACTAATCGGGAAGAACTGAGCGTGTGAACTAACTTTTTCCGGCCAGAATTAAGTTGTAGATCACATTCGACGGCCTAGAAGCAGAATCAAAGCGCTTGTTTCAAGTCAGGTGACGTGATCCTTACACAGACGGGTCGATTAAATAATTTGATGTCAACTTGTAGAAGAAAAGACTATTAACCAGTGCAGAGTTAGGATTTCTGGCTTTTCCACGGATGAATGTAGAGAGAAAACCACAAAAGATATGGGTACCATTATCTCACCCTTCGAAACGGTCATGAAGTCTTCAGTGAAAGTTTGTTCAAAATAACCGTCAAAAGCATCTGTAGTTTGAGAACAGTTCTAATAAGGATTCACCTAGAGCCGAAAAACCTACCGCCAGAGAGTTGATAATCACACAGAACCGGTTATGTGCTTCCTGGGAAACGTTAGTCAGCCACTAGGATACTAATTCTAAATTTAAAAAAGCCGTTGGGGAAAATATCAGAGGAAACTTCTGTGTACAAGAGAAAGAAGAGAAAATTGATGGCAAAATTGAAAGAAAACACATTCCAATCAGTTTGAGGGCCTTTGGCTTCAAAGCACAAGTTCTATCGTATTTTGAGAGCCGTATTTGCCACATTCAAGCAGTCTCGATTGGTTCTTGTGCTACGGGAAAATCTATGCTGTAAGATGACCATTGAGATCAAGTTCTGCTCAGTATTGCCGAATTCAAGAAGACTTTATTTTGGCGCATCCTATACTGCAGAAACCAAACTATCCATGTTGACCACTGCTCACGTTGTCACCCAACATACACCTTAGAGGAAGTGGTTTTTCAGCTTACTGATTCCAAGCATTTCTGATCATGTTTGTTCTGAGTTGTACAAGAAGTGGATAGTTATAATAGAATTTTTTGAAAGCTTTATCGTTCGTATCCTCATTTGGACTAACTAACAGTTGTAAAATGTATATGTCTCTTCATGACCTTGGTAGAATCATAATGCTCAACATTTTTCATGGCCACATTTACTGGCGAGCGAAGCACCATTCTATGAGGTATAAGGTGTATGCAACTAACCCACACACTTACAATAGTGCCTAGCGAATAAGTAGTCAGTTTCAGGAACAAGATTTCATTGGTTTTTCAAACTCTGTTTGAAGGCTTTTCACACACACACACACACACACACACACACACAGTACGGGAGGCCATTAGTCGAAAAAGAATATTTATCACTTGTGGAGCACTGCAGTTTGGAATACACTGTCAGGTTCACGTGAAATGGTTACTCGGGGCATTTGGAGCGACCGAGGAGCTGCTATGAGGAAAGAACACATTTTGGTTCACAGTTTAGATTGGGATGCGTATCAATGCATTTTTTGGTGTATTTTGCTTCCAATAACATGCGAATATAAAAATCCCGTGTCCGTTACATTCATAACACCTGGACTGTTCCTAGAGCAAACTCGAGGATAACACGTACGGGTGATGTACACGGTCTGTGATTTAAAATGTCAACAGTCCACACACACATTCACGCTCAGTAGTCCCGTATTCGACGAGGCTTTCACCATGTGGTCGAACAATAGGGACAAACTGGATGCAATTTTATGCACCAATTTGGTCTGTTGTCGTTAGCCGAAATTTTTGTGTTCAACTTAGGTAACAAAGGTTCACTGTAAAAGCCTATGCTCAATGAAATTTGCAACAGCAACATGTTTGTGTGCTCGAATCATATTCGTCGATTGGTTCAGAAACACCACTTTAATTTGGACGTTATAACGATCTCAGTTCGGAAGCGTTGTGCTACCAGTACTTTTACTATATTCAATTTCCTTTCTATTTGATACAAATAGAAATTATACAACAGAGGGGACGAAGACGGCTGGTCATGATGAGATTTTGGACAATCTCAAAACTGTCAACATCACAGAAGAAGAAATAATGGGCTCATTTGGCGAACAGCTGAAGGGGACGCCAATAGGATCACGAATTTCTGGATTCATAGCCGAAACCGTCAGACAGAAGCTAAGGAAGGAAGTACTAACAAGAATCATGCTAAAACTTTGGCTCCGATACGTTGATGGCACATTCGTTACCTTGAAGAAGTTGCAGTTAGAAAGACCATAAGAAATCATCATTAACACATTCAATGACATCAAATTTACAATGGAGACGGAGAAAGATAATCAACTGGCACTTCTGTAGATCTTAATCACCAGAACATCAACAAGCAACCTGGAGACAGCGGTATTCCGCAAACCAATGCATACGAATCAAATTCTAAACTTCAAAAGGAATCATCCACACCGCCGGAATAGGTACTGTCTTAGGACCTTGTTCGGAAGAATCCAAACGCACTGCTACATCGACATAATTAAGGGACGCCGTTACAGGGTATTTGTTCGCAATTGCTACACCCGTAACTTCATCAGAGTAACTCTGCCTCAAAGGAGGAAACAAACAACAGTCACTGCCGTACCACAAAGGTGTTTCGGGAATGACAGCAAGACTGCTCAGATCATATGGAATCCAAGTCGCCCAAAAACCGACCGCCCGTCTAAGGAGACTTCTGTCAAAACCAAAGGAGATGGACAAGAGCAGTGTTATCTACAAAATAAAGTTCTTAAACTGCCCAGAACACTATATCGGACAAACTGGAAGAAAATTGTCAACAAGGATTAGTGAACATCAATCGGCAGCCAGGAGACATGACCAACTATCGTTGATTTCCCTTCCCGAAGATCAAGAAGGTCATCAATTCGACTTCAAGTCTGTGAAAATCATCGACTAAGCTTGGTCAAAACACACCAGAGAATTTCACGAGGCTTGGCACTCTTCAATCAACTCAACAAACAGGCGCATCGAACTGGATCACGTGCACACGCCAGTGCAGCTCAAGGGCCAAATGACGCAACAAAAAGGTCGCGCCGTGACCTGAGGACGGACGGAAACCGCAATCAGGACGAAAGGACAACCTCCTCCCCTCCCACCATCACCGCTTCGCACCAGTTCCACCGCGAACCGAGCCGAACACAATGAGAACAAGGGACAAAAATAGTCAGTGGAGAAGAACACATATAGACGAACGGGTACCAGCAGAACACTGCCACTTCACAACTACTGATGATGTCAGCTTGGCTAGTGATAAAGCAAGTTGATAAAATCGGCGAAATAGAATTCAGTTCATGCGAGCTACGAGAACTGATTTCAAATGCTTTGTCAACAGATTGGAAACGACTGACTTACAGTTGGCTGGTCTCCAAGACGGAGCATCATCTAGGCCATGGTTGCCAAATGGCGCTAAGTTATGACAAGCGCTCTACTCGCGCCAATGGATAGCATCATTTAATGTCAGTGCTCCGTTCAACGCCCCAGATGAAGTCACTCCGGGGTTTAGGGAGCTGTCGGGCTATCCACCTATCTTGTTACATACAATACATGTATCCAACTTCTGATATCGAACCTAAATAGCGAAAGAGAAAAGTCTGTGCTTTTTGAGGAGCAAACTTTGACATGTCTTTTTGAAGTTCATGGCGGCAGATAGCCCTCGCTCTCTCTCTCCGTCTTTGCGAGATGACCCACCCAAGTACCACACCCATGATTGATTTTGGTTCCATTATGGTTCACCATTGAAAATTTCCGAAATTGTTGGATACCAGATAACCCCGTCATCCACAAAGCTCATGTGAACGGACGGAGTTGTGATACGGAATGAACGATATAACTTTTTTCTGTCTTTCCCCCCTCCAAGTAGCTGATGTCCGGTACTCTGACGAAAAGTTTGTGTGTGACAGATTAGTCTCGCGGATATCCAGTCGGATAAATAGGGTTGGGGATATTTACATGTTGGAAAGTTGGAATGACAACGACAAGATTATTCATTGAAAAGCAGAACCACGAAGATGCTCCAGTGGAATCACATGTCTCCTTTAGATGATTTTTGCACAAAATAATTTTGCCACCAGATATCAAGGCCCTTCAGATTGAGAAGCATATGGTCTATTCGTTGTTGAGAATGTGATGAAGGTAGTACTCGCTTCATTTTTATGGTACAGCGCGACGTGATGAAGTGAAGTTCGCTGCCAAGCTCAGAATATACAAGTACAAATATGGTGGATGGGGAGTGAGCCTATTGTATAGGTGGGAAAAAGAAAGTGAACCTTTGTGGGGGACATTGAGTACACAGACTAATTGTGTATACGCACCTTAGCAAAGAGACGACAGTAAGAACGCCGCTGCTATCGATTCGCTGCCATATTCTTCAGTGTCTCCAACCTGGAAGACGGGATAAACCTACTCGACTTAATACCTGGGTGCAGTTCTTCCTGCTTCATCTTCACGTAATTTGGTAACCTCTACACGATATACTTCAACCTAAAACAAAGCATGGTGCGGTGGACGATTGATGGGCATGTGAAGTTTATGTCCTAATCAGCGAAAACTACTCATCCGAATTCTGTGTTATGACGGAGCATTCTTAAATACAAGACAACTTATCAGTGTTACTAACCCGCGCCGTCGGTCTAATATCTGTAGTCGACTAATGTCT